GTTTGAAACCCCAAGCACCAACTGTTCAGAAGTTATGGCCAAGATTAAAGTCTCATAAAATTTTGCAAAAGTGGGTCAAACTCCAAGGTCAAAAGGTCAAATATGATGGTACCCAAAGAAAGGTCTTGTCACAAGGAATACACATGTGAAATATGAAAGTCATAGCTCCAACCGATCAAAAGTTATGGGCAAGGTTAAAGTTGACAACAGACAAACAAACAGATAAACAGACAAACAGACAGACAAGACAAAAACAATATACCCCCAGGATCTTTCGATCTGGGGGCATAAAAAGTTACAACACATAAAAATCTAAACATTAATTTGTGAACAATTTTGATGAATAAGAAAAGTTTTATTAAAAAGAATACACGTTACAAATGCGCTAACATCTTTGCATTTAAGCAAAAGTTTGATATTTTTTTAACTATAAATAAATCAAACGTCTGCAAGTTATGAATATATGTAGATTTATGAAAATTCTAAAGGTATAGAGAAACTTAGTATGCATTGAAAATAAACATCCATTAGTCAATCTGATAAAGATAATCGACAAGTATTGACCTGACCAGCTTCATTCCTCCTGTTTTGCTAGACATGAATGATGCACTCGAGAATGGCCAAATGTTATGTAACCTGTAATGTATAATGTGATAATAATTGCTCTGGCTTATTTGGGTGTTTAGCATGTTTCCTTTACTCCTCATGCTCTCCAATTGATAGTTAAGATAATAGCGAGCGCAGCGAGGGGCGCAAAGCGCCGCTCGTCACTGCGAGCTCTTAAAGGCAGAGATTTTAAGCACCGCCTTCAAAAATACCTGGTCTGTGTACCACTGTCAATCAAGTATATTAAGGTACATCATTGGGTGCTAGAACTTGATTGACATTTACTTACTAGTCCCTGTGTATACCATGTACACCTTGTTTGGCACTCTTGGTGACCTTCAAATTAACTTTTGATCCTTTGATATTTACCATACATATGGTATAAACAATAGGGAAGCTGTATTACTATGGAATTTTTAGCTTGATAATTATATATATATATATATATATATATATATATATATATATATATATATATATATATATATATATATATATATATATATATATATATATATATATATATATACGAGGGGTTATCAAAAAGTTCGTGGACTGATGCGATAAAATTAATGCTATGTAGTCTGTGCTTACAAACTTTATACTGAACATAAATCAACAAAAGTTTATGAAATGTTGAAAATTTCAGCTTGATATGTTGATTATTTGCCAAATTATTCTAAAATAAAAAAGACATTATATGATCACCCGGCGCTGCCGCCGTTTAGTTTCATGACGTCCGACGACGTCATTGTTTCTCAATGTCCGCTTTCTCTACCTCATACACTTATCTTGATGAGATTACCTGGAGTTAAGTAAGGACTTAAATCCGTCTTGTTTATATGACTTTACAATGTCATGAACAGCTACTTTCAATGCATATAATATTGTAAATGGATCTATACACAGGGAAAGATCCTCACTTGATTATGCAAGAATACTTAGCTTGTTGGAGTTCAATTTCTACCTCACATAATCAACGTCACTTATCGACGTAACTGGCTTTTGACACCCTGACTACAAAGCGATATTAACTATGCATCTTTCAACTCTCTGAATCTTTTTTTGGTATTTAAAACGAGTATTCTGGATGCATTTTATTTTTCTGTAGCCCATTCAAACATCCCCTAGGTCTATACCAGTTTTTCCAGGTTCAAAACTTTATAGAATGTTGGAAAAAGAAACGCCTCCCCCTTTCTAACGTCATTTTCAAGCCGTTAATTGTTTGGACACTCTATATAAAATTTACGATAAAATTTCATAGTATTTACAGAATGGGGGTAAAATTGCAAATTTTACGGAAAAATTGTGTTGTACCAAATGCCCGAATTTATGGGATTTTTTTAAATGACAAATGCTCATATCACAAGAGTTTTTTTCAGTTACACTCAGGTAGAAAATACGTCATATTTGAGGTTGCGCCGCCTAGACATACCATTGCTTACAAAAATATTAACAAATTATTGAAAAATAAAACTCATGATTTAAGGTTTATTCTATATAAAGAAAAAATGATGCTAACTAAATGTTTTAAAATTCATTGATGTACCTAAAGCGGTTTTAATTTTATGGCGCTAGTTCACGAACTTTTTGATAACCCCTCGTATATATATATATATATATATATATATATATATATATATATATATATATATATATATATATATATATATATATATATATATATATATATATACCTTTAGTATTTGAAATAATTATGATATTCATTATGATAATATATATCAAAATTAAGTATAACTTTTTAACAAAGTTCAACAAATACTATGAATAATAATATTTTTTTTAATTATTGAGATTAAACTTCATTTAAAACTTTTTATTTCTAATTTAAAATCATCTCAAAATCAGGTAAAGTTTGACTTCTTATTCTACTGTGTATTAAATCACTTCCCGTGTATAGGGATTGGGAGACAAATGACCACAGGTAGACTGATAGCCCTCAAGGCATTCACACCTGTACAAAATAAGCCCCTCCCTCACCTATAATTTACCACCCGGTAAAAAAATCTCTGCCTTTAAGCGAAGAGAAAATTCGGACTTTGCACATTGATCCAAACGAATTTTTTTCCGCAGTAACCCGTGGTCTCATAATGCTTTGCGAATTGCATCTCGCCCTAAGCTACGTTCTCGAGGTAGCAACAAAAGTTCAACAAAAAATAAAATCACATTGATATTGCAGAAAAAACGGTAGTTTAATCATTCTTCGTTAAAACTAGCACTGCTCAGACTTCAATTTAGTAAAGCAACTTATCTGTACGACGTCATACCGTCTTCCTTGGAAGACGGTATACAGAGTTGAAGTATTTTACAGTCTTCGGACTGTGCACTTCCTCTCTTTTGTGATTGGTAGAAATTGCATGATGAGAAAATTTTCAATTATTTCTAGGGCTGTCACGGTTCCAAAATTTCTCGGGTCAGGTCGGTTCTGTAAATTTTCGGTTCGGTTTCGGTTTTTCGGGTCGGTTATTTACATTTATTTTAAACCTTAATTTCATGAATTTAACTTGAAAAATCTTTATTTGTTACATTAAATATACATTGAAAACAAGTCTTAAGGTTTTGCCAAAGGTCAACGTGTCCAACAATTTATTTTTACAATAGCTCCAAAACTATGTGGTTTATAAAGTTCAAACTTTTACAGTTTATAAATATATCATTGATTAACAGATAGAAAGTATCACTTGATAACAAATACTTAAAGCAAGTATTTATCGAGAAAAATTCTTTTAAAAAAATGCAGATTTTTTTTAAAAATACACCTAATTAATTCCGTACTTTAAGTGAAAGCCATCATTGCAGAAACAATATATGTTTATCAATGAAAGGCAAGTTGGACTTCGATAGCCTATGGAAAGTTGTTTTCCCTGTTTATTTTATCCAAATGTTAAGATTTGAAACCGAAAGTACATTGCAAATGGCGGATTTTAAAGGGGTCTTGTCTTTATACATGTCATGCTTTCAATAACAGCCTTTCAGAGACCATTCATGTCCAACCTGCCCTCCATTGATAAACATATATTATTTCTTCAATGATGGTTTTCACTAAAAGTACAGAATTAAGCAGGTGCATTTTTTTTTAAAATATGCAAATTTTTTGAAATTGTTTTTTCTCAAAAAATATATTTTTTTACATATTTGTTTTTAAGTGATACTTTCTATCTCTTAATCAATGATATATTTATTAACTGTAAAAGTTTTAACTTTATACCTCATATAGTTTTGGAGCTGTTGTAAAAATAAATTTTTGGGCATGTTGACCTTTGGTAAAACCTTAACCATGCGAACGTCTAGACATCGGTGACTTGGCCTACTATTAGCCACGGAACCTGACCATTCCTGCTCGTTTTGATAATTATCTAATACTTCCGTGACAAGTGTTTGTCATGGAATGAAGTAGATTTCAGTTGTGATGTTTATTAGTCAGCCCGCGGGCTGACTAGTTATCATACGAAGAACTTCAAATGCGCTTGCGCTCTAGGAATTGTGGGAAACTAATGAACGTAAAACAGCTAAATAACCATGATAACAGGATAAAGAATTCTGTGTATTGGTTTACAAAGAAATGCATACTTTCTTCTTCATATAGATTATTCTGTTCAACAACTTATGGCAAATTTTAGCTCAGATAATAAAGCTACTTAACGAAAACATTTTCCAGAGGTTTCACAATAAACTGGTTTGTTTACTTTAACTGGTTCGCAGTCTAAAGTAAGTCATTCCATATAACTTCGTAAAAGATTTTCGTAATAGTGATTTTAAAATGAAAATATATAGATCTATTCTCTACGTCGTGTCTCTGTTATTACAGGTAAATAGCTAAAAAAAGATCTTACTGAACAGACTTTTTTTTTCAAAGGAGCGACTTCGGTTTGATGAAGGTGACGGAATCAGCCGAGGTTTGCCGAAAGCGGTTCGTCTTGCAGCATTTAAAGTAAACTGGTCGATAATAGCTGGTTCGCAGTTCTTACCTGTGTTTTACGCAGCGAAGCATATAAATGTGTAATATCATTGTATGCGTGATGCGTGACCCTTGAAACCTTTTCATTGAGTATTATTAAGATTTATGTTTACGTTCATATGATATATCTATAGTGAAACATTGTTTTTTTAAGATTTAAATACTTTCTAACAATCAAGACACCTGTAAGTACGGCCCATTTATTTACCTTTTCTTTAAAATATTTAATGTTTTTTGAAAGTTATGCACTTTAAAAACTACCCAGATTATGTATTTCAATTGTTCGTTCTTAATCGTGTATATTTGGGGCTCAAGTATGGCTACACTGTTATGGTACAATAAAGTGAAATAGACAATGAAACACAAATTCGGTGAGAAGGGCGGCTCGCCCATTGTCTTAACGGCTGTAGCTAAGGGTGCCTTCACCGACGTCCGCGACCTGAGTATAAAAATGGAAACTGCGTTGCAACTTTTAGTTCAGTCTTTTCTATCTGTGAATGGGATTACGTTCTGTCAGTGACACCCAAAATGGCAATGTCTTCAGACTCTAGCAGTACTGTTCAAGAGGACCGTGAAGGAGGTAAGTAATTTTAATTACTGTATTTGTTCCATAGCAAGTTTTAAAGTTTGTTGAAACAAAAAACACTTTTTTAAATAGTTGGTATTTTTGAATGCCTTATCATGAGGTCTTTTCAAGGATCATTACACCAAGGATATCCTTTTTTTGACCTTGCATATGCAGGAAGACAATGTACTGTCATTGCATGTGTAGCTTTATGCTTTCTTGCATTTCATTCGGAAATTACTGACTGGACATTTGTAAATATTGATGGAATAGTTCAAGAAGGACACCACAGATATATTGAAACAATACAAAATCTTCAAATATCACCCAGAAATTTGCAGCATAATGAAATACCACATTACTTGCATAACTTGTTCAATCATGGGGTGGATTTTGAAGTATCTGTGAATGAAGTATCCTGGTATGGAATTGTTGGGGAAAGGGGTGATATTGCTTCTGGTTCTGTAAATATATCATCAGGGGTTGCTGATGCTTTTTCGTCTAGCTCAAGTGTGCTTGCTACTTTTTCTGAATATTCAATTGCATTGTCACACAATGAGCTAACAAATGAGTATTCTGTGTTTGATTCACACAGCTGTAATCAGGATGGCTCAAGATGTAGTAATGGTACAGCTGTAATACTTACTTTCACAGATTTGGAATCTTTATCAAGATATTTAACAACAGGGTATAGTGGTTTAACATTTGAGTTATCATCAGTCAGATTTCAAACAGTTAATGCATTTCAATCAGTAAGAAGAAATTCTTCTTGTCCAGGAAAAGCTATATTTAACTCTGCTTTTAACTCAAGAATGACAAATCAGACAAATGCAGGAAAACCTAATAATATGTCATTTAAAAGCAAGACAGACAAAAATGATGGGAAATTGCAGGGAAAAAATTTTACTGGCAAAGAACCGTGCACGACTAAAAATGTTGACTATGATGATGAATATTATGTAATGCTTGACCATGATTATTTCAATTTTTCCAGGGGAAATTCTCATCCAAGTAGACCTGTCTTGCAAACTGATCATAGTTACTCTTTGAATCAAGAATATTTCAATGTTGATATTTCTAAAGATAATGTACTCAATGTACATATGCCCCAACATCCTTTAAACACTTTGATTGACAACTTACAACAAGTCCCAATTGCAGAACTTGATAGGTCCCATCAAAATGTTACTTTTCAAGTCAGTAGGTGTCAGAAATTTGTTAATCAGATAAACATGAAACCAGAACATTCTTGCATTGTCTGCAAGCGGATCTTGTTTAAAAATCAAGTTGTTATTTCCAGAGAAGTATTTGAGCAGTTCAATGTGTCAAAGGGGTGTTCATTATGCAGATTTTGTTACACATGCTTAAAAAAAGGAGATATGTCTCCTTTGGATTATGTTCTCAATAACTTAGATGCTGGCCAAATACCCAAAGAATTAGAAGGACTCTCCCTTTCAGAGAAGAGGTGCATTTCAAAGTTAAACACTTTTTTCTCATTAGTGTTGTTGCCTGCTTTTCCAGTCAGTCAATTTGGTATGAAAGGATTAGTAATACATTTGCCATTGAATATAACTGACGTATTGCATGGACTGAAATCTTGCATGAATGATCAAAATTTAGCAATAATATTTCCATCAAGTAACAATCGAATTCCAAAATCTGTAAATGTGGGTAAAGTGGAGTGTGCATTAAGATGGTTGATGCTCAATAATCAGCTGTACAATGACCTAGATATAGAGAATGTATTGGACTCTTTATCTGCTTCTGAAAATGAAATAACTTATGACATAGCAGATATACCTGAAATAGGAACAATAGAACAAAATTATAACATTCCAGACATAAATATGTCAGATGTTTTCCGGCTTAATTGTAATTCTTATAATTTACCCATTTCTTCTTCACTTAAAGATATAATCAAGTTGCAAAGTGGAGAAGAAATGGCATTCCCAGCTTTGTTTCCTTACGGAAAATATGGCTACAACTTTCAGAGATTGAAAAAGTTAACTTCATTACAGTACTATAAAGCAAGGTTATATAATATTGATGACCGCTGGAGGACAAATGTATCATACCTCCTAAGTTCAGTGAACACCTTTGAAAAATTAAAATTATTTGAGGTTGTTTCTGTTTATATGAGAGTACGGAAACATTCATCTGGACAAAGTTTATTGCAGTTAGGTGAATTGCAGTCTTTAAATAATAACCCAGATTTGGTAAACAACTCGTTTATGTTCATGAAAAAGATCAGGGGGACTGTGGCATACTGGAAAGACACTCTGTTTAATCTGTTAGCCATGATTAGAAATATTGGTTGTCCAACATTATTTATGACACTTTCTGCTAATGATTATCATTGGCCTGAATTGGCAAGTACTTTAAATGTACCTCTTGACCAACTTCCATCAGCTGTTCAAAAAAACCCACTTTTAACTGCAATACATTTTGAAAGAAGATGGAGAGCACTGTTACGTTATGTAGTGAATGGTCCTGCTCAGCCTCTTGGTAAAGTACTTGACTATTTTGCTCGCATTGAATTCCAAGCAAGAGGAAGTCCACATTTGCATATTTTCTTTTGGATTGAAAATGTGCCATCTGTTTTCAATAGTTCATCTCAAAATGAATTGGTAAATTACATAGACAGAGTTATTCATACAACCATTCCTAGAAATGAAAGTAGTATTCTTTCTTCATATGTAAAAAAATATCAAATTCATAGTCATAGACCAACATGTTTAAGGGGGAATTCCTGTAGATTTTCATTCCCTTATGAGCCATGCAATAAAACACACATTATTACTGGAGTAGATGTTACTGGAAATAAAAAATTCTATGAAACTAAAAGAGGTCCTGAAGATTCAATGGTTAATGCTTACAATCCAACAATTTTACTTCACTGGCAAGCAAACATGGATATCCAAATGGTAAATGGACCTTTTGGTGTTGCATACTATGTTTGTAGCTATATATGCAAATCAGAACCAAATACTTTAAAAAATGCATTAGCTGAGACACTGCGAAACATTCAAGACTCGGTTAATTCACCACCATTAAGGTCAAAACTCTGCAAAATTGGCTTTTGTATTCTAAAGCATAGAACTCTAAGTGCCCAAGAAGCAGCATATAGAATAGGTCATTTGCAGTTGACATGGTTTTCTAGGGAAGTTGTAAAAGTTCTGACATACACTCCTGAGAAACAATTTAAAAAATTAAAACCACAAAGTCTCTTAAACCAACTGCCACTAAATTCAACAGACATTTTTGAAAACAACATTTATGACTACTACTATGTTAGACCCACACACTTTAATTCTTTGTCATTGTTTTCATTTTGTCGGCAGTTTAAAGTAGTTCGGAAATTGGCTAAAACAATTGAAAGTTACAAATTACCAATTCCTGGAGATGTTTACATACAAAGACGCACACGTCCAGCAGTTGTTAGAAGTTGTAAACCTAGACGGGGTAGCGATGATTATTACTTCAGCTATTTACTTCTGTTTTTACCCCATAGAAATGCACAGGAACTTTTAGAACCTTACTCTTGTGTTAAAGATGCGTTTTTAAATAAGTACAGATTTTTTGATAATGAAGCAATACAGATTGGGTTTCAAATGCCAGAGTTAGACTCAATAATTCAATCTATTCATTTATCAAACATTGAATTTGATATGATGGCTCCAAATACCTGTGAAAATGAAACTGAACCTATTTCATTACATGAAGATTTTGAAGACTCAGAAAATATTTCTAATTTAATCTCAGAACAAGATGTTTCAAATGCAACAATTCAGACAGACAATTGTTTGGATCTAGACAGTACAGATATGGAATGGCACTGTCTTTCAGCATGTATTGATACTAATACATTGGCTGAAAAACTTAAAAGACTAACTCGAGATCAATATCATGTATTTAGATACATAAAACAATCAATGTTGAAGAAGCAAATATTTCAGATGTTTGTAACAGGAGGAGCTGGTGTGGGGAAAAGTTATTTAATTGAATTTCTCATACAATATTTCAGGGTTTGTACAGCTTTATTCTCTGGGCATGATCCTGTTTTAGTTCTTGCTCCTACAGGTGTGGCTGCTCATAATATAAATGGTCAAACAATTCACTCTGCTTTGAAATTACCTGTTCAACATGGTTACCATCTTAATAATAGTCAGTTGTCTGCTACAGTGTTGAAGAAAATGCGTACTCAATTAAAAAGTAAGCATACCGTGATCATTGATGAAATAAGCATGGTTAGTTCACAAATGTTTGAGCTTATTCATAACCGTTTACAAACAATTCAAAATAATGACCAGCCTTTTGGAGGATTAAATATCATAGTAGTTGGAGACTTCTTTCAGCTACGTCCAGTGCGAGGAGAATTTACTTTCAAGCATGAAATTCTTTGGCCTTTATTTAAACCTTTTTTTTTGCAACAGAATATGAGGCAATCTGATGACTCAGACTATGCACAGTTATTAAATCGTGTGCGCATTGGCCAAATGAATTCTGATGATGTTGATATCTTAAAAAGTAGAATTTATGCACAAGATCAAGCAGATCCAAGCATTTTGTACATCTATGCTACAAGAAAACAAGTTCAAAATCATAACTGTGCAATTCAAAGCAACATAAATGCAACAAATTACAGCATATGTGCTAAACATTATTTCTCAGATAATGATATTAACATAAATGGAGATGTTGATGAAGAATTAATACCTGAAGATGATAGAGATGCAGGTGGACTACCATCTGTTTTGGTGCTATCTATTGGTACAAAAGTTATGTTGCTTAGAAATTTATGTGTGAAATATGGATTAATAAATGGTGCTCGTGGTGTAATTTCTAGTGTATTAGTTAGTGAAAATGAAACAATTGTAAATACTTTAAATGTTAAGTTTAACAACTCTGAAAAGATTCCACCTAGTGTCTGCAATAGCAATGGTTCAGTAACTCTGTCGATGTACAGGCAAGAATTTTTAAGTCATGGTCGCTATATAATTAGAGAAATGTTTCCATTAATGCCATGTTGGGCAGCAACTGTACATAAGGTGCAAGGGTTATCCTTAGATAAAGCAGCAATATCTTTGAACAACTCATTATTTCAGCACGGCCAAGCTTATGTTGCTCTAAGTAGAGTTAGAACATTAGAAAATGTACAATTATTAAGCCTAGCTTTAAATAAAATAACTGCTGATCAAAGTGTAATTGAAGAATATGTAAGATTACACAGAAAAAAAGATGAACAGTAAGAAAAAAATGTTTTCAAATTATGTTTAAATGCATATTAGAGATATAGATACCACAGTTGAAGTTACTTTGCATCTAATTACATCTGCCTTTTGAAAATTTAACAAAAAAATGCTGTGTAAAGTTTGTATTTAGTTAGTGTATTCATTATTTCAAATATTACCCAAAGCATTGGAATCTTCTTTAAAGATATTTGGTAAGTCAAATTTAAATGACTTGAAATATGATATTGTAAATAAATGCATTATATAGGCCTATTATTTTATTTGTTTTCCACAGAATGATAAAAGAACTTTTTTTTCTTAACAGTTGTGGAAACATTACAAGACGTGAAAAACCTGCAGGGAGAACACACACTAAAGTCATTCCTAACTGTGAAAGTGTTAGAAGTCCAAGCTCCGACATCATACATTTCCAAAAAAAAAGGAGCAAGTCAAATGATGACAGCAAAAGTTGCTGATACTAAAACTCACACAGAGGTCAACATCTATGATACTGGAAAATTTCCCTTATTTAGAGTAAATGAAGCTGTTATCCTTTCAGACTTCGTAAAAAAAGCAGATGGGTAAATATTTCCTTACATTATTTTTTAATGAGAGTTTAAAAGTCTTACATGTTAAAGAAATGTCTTTCATAAATTTATCACATGTACACATATATTATTCTGTACTGTGTTCATTGTAGAAGTCTGGTTGTAACTCAAGTCTCGAATGTTTTTACAACAAACAAAGAAATGGTAATTGTACCACAGGAGGTCCTAGACATGGCACAAAAGAAACCAGACTGCTTGTCTGTAATAAATGCAGCAACGTCACCTTTGAAAAGCACAGTGTCTGTGAAAGGGAAAGTTATCCTTGTATGTATCCTAGCTGTTACAACATACAATATATCTGATAAATAAATTCTAATATGGGATAATTAACATTTAATTTTCATCTTTATTTTCCCTTAATGGTAATTGAGCATAATTTTAATTTATTTCACCTTTAGGCATGCTCACCTACCACAAAAAGATTAAGAAACACAGGGGAAGAGGTTCCTTTTAAAAGACTTAAAGTAAAGGATGGAAGTGGTATCATTAATGTGGCTTTGTGGAGGGATTTCGCTGATACACCAATTCAACAAGGCAGTTTCGTTGCTCTGCATAATTTTACAACCACTCAAACATACGATGCCAAAACAAAAGCACAGAAACCTGTCCTCTCGAACAGATCATCTCAATCAGCAGTAGAGGTAACTCATAAACTATTAATTAAATTTTTATACCTCTTTTTTTCCTGAACTTTTCTTTCAACATCTTTTGAATAGTTATATATTTTTTTTTATAATGTTGTAAGGTTTCATTCTATATATTCCATTGTGTCAATTATTTTCACAGTTTTAAATTTTTTACAGCTTTAACCTATATTTCATGTCGCTGATTTTCTCATGTGATTTAATGGAAAGAATTGATTTTTAGTTCATCCCTTCCTTTGCTGAAATATCTGATGACGAAGAAGATAGTGAAGAGGAAAGTACAGTTATGCCAACTGGGACCATAATTGGAATTGAGAGCCTTTTTACTTACAGGTAAAAATTGTCAATTGTTTATACATGTATCACTTTTAATAAGTATTCAATTTGATTACTAATGCTTGTAACACATAAAAGAATTGTAAGAAGCACACTATTGGTATAAATGGCAACACTGTTAAGTATAGTTAATGAATTTAAAACAATGTTCCAGTTTTTTCAATTCATAATCTTAATTTATTCATATTTCCCCTCTGAATTATTAATTCATATACCGTAATTTTATAGGTGCTGCCTTATCCAAAAGTGCTGTAAGAAAAAGGTCGGGGAAGACTTCCGCTGTCCAAATTGTTCAATTCAGTACACCATTAACTCTGCTGGTTATGGTGGCATTTTAAAACTACTCATCAATTATGAAAATAAAATGAGTGTCTTCACAGTTTTCACTGAAGGACTGCTACAATTGTTAGAATCCATGAACTTGAAAACCGACTTAAACAACAAAGATGATACCTTGAATAACCTGAAGGCCGAGATGCCAATTCGAGTGAAATTTTCATTTCAAAGTAACAAGATAACAACCATTCGGAAATTTTAAAACTTAACAAATGTGTCAAAAGATTGTTCTTCCTGGACTGGATTTGATAATGTTCTTCCTGGACTGGATTTGATAATGTTCTTCCTGGACTTATTCGATAATGTTCTTCTTGGACTTATTCGATAATGTTCTTTCTGGACTTATTCCATAATGTTCTTCCTGGACTGGATTGATAACGATACTTACTATTATTAATCAAGAGAAGTGTATACAATTGATGTGGTAGAAATTACAGTTCATAACAAATGTGGCTATGTAACTACTCTTAATTTCTTTTTGGTTTGTATATATTTTATACATCATTGCTTATCTTTGTTTTAGAATTGTTTGATTGTATCTTGTATAACACTTACTGTGTTATTAATTAAAGATGCATAAAGGTTTCAATAAGATTTGTAGAAAATTTTAATGTATACAATACTGGTACATTAATATTGTATACATACACCTGTAACTGATAAACATTTACACCGTTAATACCAGTGAATGTGTGTAACAGTGTTCAGTTAACATGTCTATGATGATTTTCTTTTTTAAAGGAATTCTGTTATTTGGTGTGAAATTCTAAATGCATCTTGTGTAAATATATTTTGACTTGCATTTTTTATAACATAGCTAGTTGATCCATTTTTGTGATGATGTAGCTCTTTTTCACAAATAGTCATAAGCTGGCATATTTCTGGCATGTGTATGAGAAGCTGCTATTTGTATTAGGTAATTTCCAACATTGTTTGTACCATATATGTATTGCTTAGTCAATAACAAGTGGTACATTTCTTGCATAATTTACAAGATATTGGCAATTTTGTTTACTAAAATGATAACTCACATTCCTTTTACTATATTGTCCTCAAGTATATATTATTTTTGTACATTTTTACTTGAAGTTTTAAAATCTGTTAAACTCAGGTAACTCATCTACCTCTTGTACATGTGTAAGTTTTAATTATATTGTACATGTAGTTGTAAATTCTTGTAAGCCTTTTGAATCCTTACACAGACTCACAGACTCTGTTTAATTAAAAAAACATACTCATTTGTGTCTATAATTTTTTTTTTACCGGTATAAAGAAAAAAATTTCTGAACTCATAATTACATTTGTTTTCATTCTTTTCTTAATAAAAGAACATAAAATCATTGTACTCTTACAAAACACTTCATTTTAAAGGGCAATTTGTTTTCTTTTTTTTTCTTCGGATAATTTTGATTACTTGTACTTTATATTGTAGTATTAGAAATATAGTTATTTACTAAGGTTGTGCATATGCCATTCAGGTTTAGGTCTGTTTTGTCCATGTTTTCTTCATCTCTCTTGGCACTTAAGATTGAAAAGAAATTTTAGAAAGACAGTTTTTTAAACATTTGTCTCTCATTTTTTAAATTGAAACATGCATGGTTAACTATTTCAGGGAAATGAAAGTAGAATAGAGATTGTTAAAGTTTTAAACTCATATTTTGTTTTGTTTTGTTTTTTTTTTTGTTCTTTATTTGAATAAATACAAGCATTGACACTAGTATTGATTCTTTCTTTCTGAGATTTTTGCCTTGAAATTCCAGAATGGAAATCAACATCAGCATCATTTCTGGGGGAAATGAATTGAGATACTATCGTATCATTTTAATATGTGAACTTGCACCAACCACTTAACTTGCATTTCATTTTTAAAAGGTCATGGGTTTCATTTCATAACAGTGTTAACTAGCATTTCTGTTGTAATATAGAGCGTCCAAGGTATATCATGCATTATTTGAACACACTTTTAATTATTGCACAAATTAATTTAATTACTCTTAAAATAACTTACTTCAAAAAAGTTTATTGCATTCCCTTAAATTATTGTGTGCAATAATCAAAACAGTCCAGTCAAATAATCATTAATATACCTTGATTCATATTTTATTCAATGTTACTCTCAATTGAATTCAAAAATGATAGATGGTTTTCCATTGAGGTGATTTAAGCAAGAGTTATTTCCCCATGGCCGCAAAATTGTAGGTCTACATCCCCAGACCCGTTCATTATTCAACCCAGTTCAATTTATTAATAACCCCGAGGCAATATACGTCATAGGAAAACTATCCATAATCATTTCATTGCTAATTTCAATTTTCAGGCATTTTTTAACATGACCTGTATGCAGTATGATTAAAAAAAACTTGCTGATTGCATCAATTGAAATATGAATAATTATCTCAGATATTTTTAAATGACCTCTAAAAATTCATTATCCCCCCCTCCTTCTTTCATTTCATGTATGCAGCATGATTTAAAAAAAAAAAAAAAAGAAAAAAACCCTTGCTGATTAAACAAAACACCACCAAAGCTCAATAAACAGAATGTTTCCTAATATTGGAAAACGTTCCAACAAAGAATTAAAATCCAGTGGCTGACTGTCTAAGCTTTTTTCAAAAGCTAAACTTGTTTCACTCTTATCGTCATCATTCCTTCGATTTCGACGCCATTTTTTGTATTGAACAGACTCTAATATATAAACCAGATCCGAACCGAAATCCGGAAAAATGGAACGGAACCGAACCGAACAACTTAGACCGCGGTTCTCGGTTATTTCGGGTACTCATGACAGCCCTAATTATTTCATTGGTTGAAATGCTGTTCAAGGCAAGGGAGATAATTTTCTGATGATCTAATTTTATTTTCGTACGACTTAACAATTTTTCAAGATTTTCAATCGTAAAAAAAATATGACACAAGGTTAGCTTTTTTTTTAAAAAAAAGCTGAGAGTCAGCCACAGGAATACAGAAAGTTTCTTTCTTGTTTTGTGATGGTATATGATTTGTTTTATCCATCATGTTGTGTTTATTAAAAGTCATTGTCGTCTAAGTTAAAATTCGCCCAGTCGTTTTCTTATTTGTAACATAATTCTGTACATAATAAATATTAAAGGAAGGTAGACCTTGGGTTAGATTGTGTTAATTATTATTACATACAAGTTTTTAATCGTGCAAGTTCAAGGCAATGCATGATAGGGGAAGGGGGAGGGATGCATACTGTATGTATATTTAATTCAATTTCTAAATTTAAGCATTCATTTTAGTGTTATTAGGAAAGAAAAGAATTGCTTCTAAAATAAAGTAATAAACTGGAAATTCAAAATATTTTATACATACAGTACGTATTCCCTAAAATGATACTGGATTCCATCTCGCTCACTCTCTCTAATTGGGGGTGGGGGGGGGGGCTGTCTATAAATCCGCGTAGTTTCTCTAAACTATCGCAGTTCTACTGTGGTCAGTTTCTCACCTGTGGGCGCGGTTCACGTGCACAAGCGGCACTTACATGTCTATCATTGTGTAAATTATAAGACTTTACACATCTTAAGTGATCTGACGTTTTCATAACTTTCATCATTAAAACGTTTTGGGACCTTTGTGCAAGTGGATTATTGTGTGAATTCGTACATGTCTTATGCAAGGTATTGATCGAGGGAGTCTTGCATCAGGCATTCAGAGGAATACACACAAATCCGTGAACTTGCAACGGCGATTGAGGGTATATATATCAAGTGTTAAATGTGCTCTGCGTATAAACTTCTCATCTTCTTCATGAAGCACTGAAAATATTTTCATAGTATCATATTTCCCACTTAGAACAATCTCTTCTTTAATTTTTCGTCGAGAACGACGAAGAACAATGCAGTCTATAAATAGATCGAGGTCGCTTCTTTGTTTGGAGGGTGTTTGTGAAGAATCACGCCCATTGGTTGGAGCAAATAGCACGAGTTTCTTTAGAACAAGTCGTGTACATCTTTTTCCCAGAATTCCAAATTACGCAAGCGCACTTGCAGTTTCATCCCACCGTAACTAGTCAGCCCGTGGGCTGACTAAAAACGAACAGTAGAAATTGGCAGTATTTAATTCGAAATAACATGCCAGTTTTTTCATAGCAATTACCAAAAAACTTTTCTATATTTTCATTGGTAACAGAATTGATCTTTATTGCATGCAAGCTTTACCGGCAGAGAGCTCATCGGAGTTTACGGAGACAGCCGAGTGTCTGGATGAACGAGACTAGCACTGTCTTTCTAATCTCGGCAGCATTCGGCAACACCTCGGCCGATTCGTACCTCATCTACAAATCACAAAGGTGACGGAATCAGCCGAGGTTTGCCGAATGATCTTGGCAGCAGAGCCGAAGTTTACAGAGACAGCCGAGCATCTGTTAACTTTTCTTTTGGTAGGTTGTCAGAAAAAAAACTAATGAAGAAATACAAAGCCAAGGAATTTTCAAGAATTATACACCCTGATAGGTTTAGGTCAGTTTACTGTTTAAGGTTGTTGCTAAAGACGGTAAGCTTTTTGAAAAAGCTCTACTTGTGTGATGTCAGAGTCTAGATCGACCTATCAAATGTCACGTGCGGTTTGAAGAGACGGATGTAAATAAAAACTAAATAGATATCTGCGATCGCCATAACGGTCGAACCGTCAACATATTATGAAGTTTCCAAGATCAAGTTATCACAAGAATTCTATTGAACGACTTGACCAACAAGTCTTGGCTAAATCTAGTACTGTCTGACGCCATGACGTCAGACGGATGAAAATAATGAACTTACGAGGGGTGATCAAAACGTTCGCGAACTAATTGAATAACTTCCTTGAAAGAAATAAAATGATGTTTCAGTGTTCATTATTTTTTAAATTAATCCTCTCCGATTTATGCACATCTTCCATTGTTCTGCCCTTGCACGAATCACGTGACATGCTCTGTAACGGTTTGTTCACAGAAGCTAAGAGATTTTTCCGAGTCTTATATTTCTTACCATGCAAGTTATTTTTTTATAACAAGAACAGACCATCTGTCAGAAATGGCCAAATCTCGGCAATAGGATGGGTCAATAAGGATATCCCTTCCCAGAATTAGCATGGTAACCATCACAACCCGAGTCCTCTGTCTCGGGAGCGTCGTTTATCAAATGTGGAAAAAGTATGGGCGCTTTCCTTTTTTTCATATCTCATATTTTTAAAGTCTAAAGTAAATGATATTTTTGGGATTCAATAATTATAATATAATTGTTCAGATATTCAACTATTTTCTAATTGTAACTTGGCGAT